GTGGGCAATTCCTTCAACTATTTGCTTAAAACTATCACAAAATTGTGATTGAAAATAATCCAGTGTTATAATTTCCACCACGGACAAAATGAATCATCTAAACCCATAAAAGTTGGTAGCACATGTCTAAGTTCTTCCATCACGAAACATATCGTTGAGACAGATAACAAGATTGACGTGGCTACTTCCCTTGGACCTATTTACAAAACGTGTTGGGGACGATTCCTTACAGAGCTCAAGACCTTAGCTACCAGGATGTTTAAACCACCTTTGTATGTCCAAAAACAGTTTGTTATTACATTACTAAATCTCTCTTGGTGAACTCAACTTCGAAATCAACTTCAATGGCCTTTAATTCAACCTTGCCACTTGACCTCTTTTCATATTCTCAACCCTTATCTCTTTATAAAGTTTCATATCAACGTCTGTCACAAGTAAGTGTGTGATCAGATTGTTCAAAATGTGTTGTGCAAGCACATTATATGATTCAGATAATTTACGTCTTCTTATTGTTTCGTGGAAGTTTATTGATGGAACTAAATGTTGTAAATTATCTTCTTTCTATGTGTTCGCTGTGTCGTTGGTAGTGACGTAGAAAGAGAAGTAGTGGAGATTTTATATTCTCGATGAGCAACTAGTTTTATGTGTAATGTCTTTTTATGAGGTGGTTAGGCTGAATGGGTAACCCATTGCATCAAGCAGTGGCATAACTGACTTTAGTTGTCAATTCATTTATCGAGAGCTTGGTGTAACTGACGGTTTGAACTCGTATTCCAGAAGTTTTCCTCTCAGTTCTACATTCACCCTTCTCTCCAGTGGAAAAACTAAATGAATTGGGATATTTTACAATTAAGTTCCTAGTGGAACATAGGACTTCAGTCGCACGCCTTCATTGCACTCTGTTCTCTGCATTCTTTTCAACCTGGCTGCACGAATGCCCATCACCTACCACTTCTTTCTCACACCATCTCCTCTATTCACCCTCGCCTTGGACGCCTAACTCACCGTTTCCTATTTCGGTTCCACTCAAGTCCCTGGCGCATGATGTCCCCGAATGGTCTTCTCAGTGCATGCCCAATCCATCTCCACTTCCTCCATATTTGTTGAGCGGTAGGTTCTTGCTTGGTTCTTTGGCAGGCCAGAGTTCCTTGTTACTTATTCTTTTTTTGGCCATCTGAGGTTCAGTAACGAGCCAGCGTAGGCAGTTGTTGATGAATATCTGAAGTTTGTTGGAAATGCTTTCCTTAACGCGCCAAGTCTCTGAAATGAAACAAAGGAGAAGCGCTAACATTTAATAACTATTATCCATAATTTATTAAGAAAGCCGTAAGAAAACATAGGGGACGAAATGATAACAGTAATACAAATACAATCACCGATGATTTATGTCTAATGTCGCACAAACTCGAATATCTACAGGCGAAAACCAACAAGTTGACAAAAGGGACAGTGAAGACGGGACTTCAAGTGAACGTAGAGAAGACGGAGGTGATGAAAATACCCAACCAACAACAGCATCAACGTTAAGAGGCACCAATTACCATTAACGGGAGAAGCCTTAAGGAAGTAGTCTGCTTCACCTACCCAGGCAGCATCGTTTCGACTAAAAGAGGCAGAGGTACAGATGAGGATGTCAAAGCCAGACAGGATGGGAAAGACAGCAAGACAGGCCTTTCTGCATTGATCTGAAATCAGTGTGGAGATCTACTGCACTGCACTGCACTCAGCACAAAGAACAAGATCCAGATTTTCGACATCAATTCAGTCAAGTCAGTGCTTCTATGTGATAGTTCAGAAACTTGATGCGTCACGATAAGCACTTCCAACAAACTACAGACATTCATCAACAGCTTCCACCTACACTCGCTCGATACTGAAGATCAGATGGGCAGAAAGTATAAACAACAAGAAACTCTGGGAACGAACCAACGAGACAAGAACTTATCACCCAACAAATATTCAGAAGAAGAAAGTAGAGATGGATTGGGCATATAATGAGAAGGCCGACGGGGGACATCACGTGCCAGGTCCGACCCTTGACTGGAATCCAAAGGGGAAGCGACGAGTTGGGCTTCCGAGGCGAAGGTGACATGGAGGAGATGATTTGAGGAAGAAATGAAAGCTTGTGAGCAACGGTGGAGCGAGGTTGAAAAGACTACAGAGAAGACAGAGAGTGCAATGGAGGCGTGCTACTGTAGCCGTATGTTCCACTAGGAACCCAAGGGAAAAATAATAATAATGAAACAAATAATTGTGATAACAAGAGTAGAAGTAGGAGTTCACAGGCTCCATTATGTCACCATTTAAGGAGGGGATGAACATCAGAAACTACACTTAGGATCCTCAACAATATGGAATTTGGGTGGCATTTAAACTTGCAAAAACTCACTCAGAGATAAGCTCTGTCGGATGGCTTAAGCAACCAATAGATCCAATCAAACAAAATAATCGAATCTCCCAATTCCATGTGATGACTGTGAATAAGGTCAAGTACACAGGTGAAACTGGTCGGTCAGGGTCAGTGAAACTACTGGACCACGGGAATTTAGCTGAATATAGAATGACAGACGAGAATAAGGTCAATAATGTAGAAAGGATCTGGACTATTGTAATGAATGCAATAACGCACAGTCACACACAATAGGGTTGGATGAAACCACTGTCCAATATGATTAGGTGTAGAGAGATGGGGATTGATCACTGAATCTTTTGCGATTCACATTAGCCAACACTCAACACATGTGTAATAGGAATGATGCAACATCTATATGAGTTATAAGTCAAATAAACAAATGTAATGTGGAATAACATACTACGGTGGCACCCCCAATTTTACGCCTACTTTAAGGATTTATCTTTGCTAACAATTTTGCTGCTACACATAGGTATATGAAATCGAAGTTTATTGCAGTCCACTCTATCAGATTCAGGATATATCTTTATTCTATATCATGAAGTGATGAACCCCCTTTCTAGAGGGGCATTTAATTAGCAATATCATGAGTGACACGAAAAATTTTAAAATCTGGATAACAGTGATGAAGGTATAAAATGAATTTTGTTTAGCTGAACAGCAGATTGTCCATGATTAGGTTTGAAATGCTGAATTGTTTGGATTCATGAGAACACCAGGACATCTTCAATGGTTAAGGAATCCGGAATATTAGTACTGAACTTTGAATTTGATCTAGCTTTCTGAATATGCAAACCGACAGGTAAATGACGTGTAAGACGAAAGTGCCTTTTGTTGTATAGGACACTACATGACACCAAATTGACTGCATTTAAAAACTGTCTTTTTACTATTTGGAATCTTTCTTCAACAGCAGCGTCATCCACCAAGTTCACAAGTTACCTGAAATGAAATCTCTGGTGTTTGTATTTGTTAGTGAATAGAATGCGGTCACTCTTACTGTCTTCACTGAGTATCCAGCGACTATGACGATAATCATGATTTGTATATCTGAATTTCTGCAGGCATTGTGCATCCATCTCAGAAGATTCATTAAAATCACCAATTCATCTGAGCGACATGTACATGTTGCGTAAATTTAAAGCGATAAACCTTAGGTACATGAGCTTCAGAGACTTGAGGAGACAAGTAATGACAGTTTCATTCATCAGAACAGATCGTTTCGCAGACAGGTTGTATAAACAACCTGTTTAGTGGTCGAAATAGTAACAAGAAGCAGATAGAAAGCAAACTTGATGAATCTAGCGGAAGTATTCGTGGAGTGCTAAACAGCTTCTATCATCAAAATTAGAAAATATTCAGCTAGGAAGACTCTTTTCAACGGATTTACTCTCAGGCTGAACATTCTATCCAATATATGTAAATGTCATCTGAAGACTGTAATCCCTGAAGAGAATTAAATTAAAATTATGTGAGTTGAAAATAACAATAAGGATGGTCACAGTTATAATAACTTTGCTAGTTGATGACACCAAAGTTGAATGATAGCCGAAAGGGGTTAGGTTAAATAAACTTTCAATCGTTCATAAGGTGAATATAGATTAAAAATGTGTGAAAACATGGTGCTGCAAATAAACAATCGGAGGATTAGGCAATTTAATTGCGATAACATGTTAGTTAAGATGAAATGAAAGTCTTTTGTTACAATTTGTAATTACTGAGAAGATTAGATGAATTAACATAACACTGGAAACTACTAAATTTAAGAATAATACTACTGATAGTGACAGTATGAGAGTAGAAAGATTAATCGAAGAGAGGGAGAAGTCAACAATTGGTAAAAACAGAAGCCAAACGAAAAGAAGTGGAAGAAACTAAGATGAGTTTAAGTTGAGTCGATTGAATATTTAAGGACAGAACTTCGAGTGCATTTCATCACAGCCTTATGAAACCGGGCTAGAATGTGTTCTAGTATGCTTGTTGACGGAAATCTCTGGCTACAACAGATGTACCCTGCTCCATACGAGTAGGTGATCGAATAGATGCAAATGGAGGTGAGCTGTGGAGGAAGAGATATTATCGTTTACACATACCGAGAACAATTTACGGCTAGGAAAAGTCAAATAAAGTTTGGCTACAGAAAATTTCTTACTAACTGATCTCCAGAGACGATTTTTCAAAATGTCTGATACTACATCACCTTGAATTTTCAGATTCCTGAACAGAGTCTTTCTATAAACTGAGTTAATTACTGGTTTCATATGTTCTTCTCATACACTTTTATCAACGCTAACTGGTGTCTTGACGAAACAAAGAGAAAGCGGTATGGAATACAAATCAGTTGATGTCTTCCCTTCTTCCGCTCACTCTTCCTCTCTCTAAACAGAGTAGCTTGAGTACTGACTATCGAAGCTTGCCTTCTTAGATGAATCTGATGTACTGAAGTGGAGACTGATAGTCAAAGTCAAATATTACTGATATCATAACATAAATCATGAAAGTAAAATTCGAAGTATCAATAATTACTTTTGAATATTTTCATATCACATACTTTTAAAGTTTTCATTTCTATACTACTATTCGTCTTATGAAGCTTTCTGAAGCGAGGATCGACATATTTTATATTGAAGAAAGTTTCAATATCCGTCGGATAGTTATCATGGGAACTCCAGATGCTATTCATCGTGCTGGTTTGTTAATCAATCCAAGTTAAGAGATTCACGGTGACTTCTTTTTTTGGGTGATGTATAATACTAGACAATTCTCAGATTTGTAGGCTATCATCTCGAAACTTGAGTAGAAGAGTAACCGATTTGTGAGAAATTACTGACGAGACCTAACTTATTGATGAATAGCATACAATATGTCATTGTGTTGCGTGTTTGTGTGTGGAGCTGTCGAAAATAGTTTTCAGTGGATAACTGTTTACCTTTAGTTCAGAACTATTCAACCATTTGAATTCTCAAAACGCAAATAATGTCAGGGGTGAAACTTCCGTTTCAGCATTATGGACGTTAATAAGCTCTTTTTTAAAACTTCAACGTTTCTCTTATACTCAGGAGCGTTGGGGATAGATATGATAATCGATTTTATGAAAATATGTAGGGGTACAATGGGAAGCGAAAGCTCCGAGTGGACTGTGAACAAGTGATTTGTCTAAATATACAGATATTGTAATTTATCTTGTTGCGGCCAGCAGAGGAATCCAGCTTGACGCGCGCTTCGTCCCACTTGGGACTCACCACCCCAGTGAGTGGTGTTGTTAGGACTGAGACTCGAACCTCATGCTCGTCGCTTCAAACGCCAAAATGTTATTCACTAGGTGACGGAGGCATGATGGTCACCTCAATGGAGAATTACAAGCATATCAATAAACAGTAGTACCGATGTTGCTTGATATGATTGATTACAAAGGTGCTGAAGACGATGCGACTTCATTAAATGACTGATGGTTAGCTGAAGAAGATTAATAATAGTTGACTGGGTGTGTATGTGGCAAGGTTTCATGCCAAAACACTAAACGTTCAGACGACAAAGGCGCCTGAGGCATTTTCCTACAAATTAACCGACCTAGGAGTTTGAGGAATGTACCATGATTAGAAATTTTCGATTCTGGACTCAATGAATCTAATCTCAATTCATATTGAACGGTGTCATCATTGAGCATAAAATAACCTCTGATTTCATTTGCTCGCTGATGAGTAGCAATGGAGTCTAGAACGCGTTTACTTCTGTCTACATGGGAATCCTTGTCGGCTGGATGCACCTAAGACGAAGAAAGTGATGGTGATCAGAATGAAACTTGAACCCGACACTGATTGCATGAAACACTAAAGAGTTATTCACAAGGTTACTGAGTCAAGAGATTTCCCTGCTATGCAACGGATTTCAGTAGTTATTCATGAATACTTGCAACTTCTCGTCAGCTGTGTGTTTGCTGTGGAAAAGGTTATAAAAAGTGGAGCAGTAGTCAGTGTATGGTGTGGCACCGTAAAATGACGGATAGCTGTTCTAAATTAGTATCCGTAGTTATCTGCCTCACAACCAACCACCCCCAAATGTGGTTCGAGTAGTCATATAGTTCAATGACTCGACACTGTAGCACACATCCCTCACTACCAAATCCAGCCGTGAACGTGCTGCAGTTTCGCTCTGCCTTCTATTACTGAAATGTAGAACGGTAATGGCAAATGCTCATTTGCATGCACCTGTGGTGCTGCTTGTTTATGGACTCACTTCTCTTCCTGTTTCCATTATCTCTTCACTCGTTCCATATTAATAGTTCTGTTATATTGGTGGTATGGCGCGTCTCGTGATACCCATACCCATAGTGTACTAAGTTCCTTTTTTTTCTAAATAATGACTTTATTAGAAGACACAGTTTATCTAAAAAATGTAATGCATTCATAGCGTATATTTCGAGTAATCTAATTATGCTTGTCATATTTGTCAGGACCTTCCTTCACATGAGAAATGGAAATGCAGAAGGGAATCTTACAGTCTAATTTTAAATGCAACAGAGACAGATTCAGTAAGGTCTACAATCAGCTAAACTCATTCATAATGCAGTTAGGCTTGTCGTAGTTGAGACAATCAAACACAAGTTGCAGCATAGACCTCACTCATTACTGTATGAAGGATTGCATCACATCCGACTTCGTGTACGGGTTTACATTTCTTGTTTGTAGACACCTGCGTAAGACGGATCATTAATGGAAACATGCACTTGATGCTGGTGGAACACTTACCAAAATGGCCTACCCGCCTGTCTGAAAAGCAGCTGGATTCACAAACATCAATAAATGCAGCTTGTAGGCAACCATTATCGTTAGCATCATCATCATGAACAGCACAAGAAAACACACTATTGATAAGGGTCACAGGACTGATATGAAACAGCCTGCATTATTTTCTATGGAAATTGTCAAGGTATGGTAGGGTGATTGAGTTTGTTGAAGGACCGGCCACGTTGGCGAATCTCAGACCCTGTTTTCTGCTGGGAAACAATCTGTCCTCCTTACGCTTATCCTAACCTGTTAGCTTTCTTTTTTTACATCCAACAAGGCCATTTTCGAAATTCATTTTTCCTGCTTTATTACCTGCCGCTTGACTATGGTGGAAGTCAGCAAGTTCAGGTCTCACGACTCATGCCTTTCTCTCACTGAAATACATAAAATCCATCCACATAAATCTCAAACTGAATTTCTGTCTTTCGCTCATAAGTGAGATGTTTTGAGGTGGATGGATAACCTGAGATTGTGATGAGAAGCTGAAACGTGCAGTCAACCCTGTTGGGAGCGAAGCGTATGCTAGATCATGGGTGACGTTACATGATCGTCATGTTTTGTCGAGATTCATGGAAACAGGAATACATGGATTATTGAACTGTGACCATGTGACTGGATGGTAAGCGTATTCGCCACAAAACCTGTAGGTTCGCGGCTCGACCCGTCAGAGTTTCGGGGTGTAGACTGCTGAGAAGTGGCATAGTAGGACGATACAGCTGTCCAATCTATCCAGCCTCTCACTGGTACTCCAATTTATGTCACTCAGTCAGTAGGTGGTGAATTGTAACTTGAAATATGTAACATTTTCATAGATCCTCAAACTAGCTTCCTTCTTCTTGCTGTTGTTGTTGTTATATTTGTCCTTCTCCCATCTCCATCTCCATCTCCATTCATTTCAGATGTCTTCACAGGTAAATATGTCATCAGATCGTTTGAGGTGTATGGATGGTGTAGATACATCACATTTATCTGATAAACTACATCTTCTAATTACGTCATTCAAATTCATGAAAGGGACTATTTTTCTATTGGATAACAATAATAATCTAGTCTAGTCAGGTGAACTTCAGCTTGATTTGTTCATGTAGTAGGTAGAATATGTGAACAGATATATGTTGACTTCCATGCCATCTGAAAACCTCCACCTGAGAATTGCATTTACGGCGCATTGAACTTGATTCTATTCGATTGAGATTTTGGAGTCTCTATGTTCGAACTGGTCACTGTAATTGGTTTGTATGTAACAAAGTAAACTGATTTGTATTAGGGAATCTGAAATATCGATTTATGTTGTGAGTAATGCCTTGGATTATCAGTTCATCAAGTAGAGTAGATGGAGTAGATGATTTTTCAACTGGACACAGTTTTTGAACCACCTGACATGCTTGTTTGAGTATTGTTTCCGTGGTTCCAAAGAAGTATCCCAGTGTAAGTAGATCCATTTCTGATGAGATGGGTATGCTTTGTATGAGTTGTTTGACTAAACATCTCCAAGATACTTGTTGATATACAGGAATTTGAATGAATAATGCTTTTACACAGTTCTATCAAAATTCCTTTTCCTACAGTCGATTCATCTCATCCACAGAAATTTTTATATGAACGATGTGAATCGAATGGAAATGTACTCAGTACATTTGCGCACATTTGTGCAGTAGACAGCAGTGAGTAACATCAGGTGTGAGAGGGAGATTCATGAGGCTGCCTTACCCTGGTTGCACCAACCTCAGTAGTTGCATGATCTGCTTTTGACTCCATGACTCACTGGTCCAAAGTCACTTATCTACTCAAACCAATGAGCTACAGCTCCAATGAGGGAGTCGATGGTTGATTCTGAGTGTTACCCCCTACTATCTACATGTTGTCTTCATTGACTATAGAGTTTTTGAAATTTCAACTGCTTATTTGGGCAACCAGCATTGTTAGTTGAATGCTAATTTATTCTTGGTCGGTGGAGCTAGTTTCCAATGTTTAATGTTCAGTATCGTTTTGTAAGCTAGTGTAAACCAATTGATTTCTTCACGCTCGCTTCTAGGTGCTGCGGTACGGTTCCAGATCTGTAGTCAATTCCAATGCAGTAGGTCTACCTACTCGATGGCTGTAGCTCTGGTTAGCCCGACGGGGGTTTGGGTTTTGGTTAAATTTGTAGAAAGTGTGCGTTGTTTTCGTTTTCCAAGGACTGTGGTGCAGATAGGTTCCTCAAGTGTCGTGCCAGCACACAACTGGTCGGACTGGCTATGAAAAGGAGATGGAAAATATGTCCAGAGAAATCGAGGGACAGAAAGTGCGAAGAAAAATAAACAATGGGAAGAAACGACTGGAGAAAATGAAGCGGTACGGAAGAAGGAACACCGGTAGATTCATTGGAAAGGAGTGATAGGGAGAGCTTTTATTGAGGTGTGAGAACGTGAAGTCAGTAGGAACGGGAGAAGAAAACTACATTATAGGATGGATCATGGGGATGGAGATAGTAATTCCGTTAGTAGGAGACGGCAAATGGACGGCCGTCTATAGGGAATTATTAGGTTTAGCCAAGTTCTCAGTAATAGTGGTGTTACAACGTATTCGATAATGGGTTGGCTGTTCTGAGTTAGAAGGTCGTGTCAGCCTGGTCCATATCCCAGCTAGATGAGGGCAAGCCGTGGGTAACTGCGTAACTGTCCAACCTCTTCTTCAAGCTGCCAGTGGATGGAGTAGTAGAAATTTCGGCAGGCAGTGCGTTCCAGTGGCCGTAAACTCGCAGAGAGAAGTGTGATTGCACACAGGTTTTCACCCTTTGATGGGCGATTCTCCTTGGGTTACCACGAGGTTCTCTATAGTGGCCGTTTGGTAGGATTCCACTGTTCGGATGACTTGGGTTACTGAGTGTTTAGTAAGCTGTTATCAAGTCACCACATAATCTA